ATTTTATTTGTTTGGGCATTTGTCTGTTGCCTCCTGATCAGACATTTCAATAGAACTTGGAATGTTTTACTGTCAATTTTTTCTCAAATAGCTTTTTAAAGTCAATTCATGTTTCTATTTTTAAGAGCAATCAAAATCTGAAAACAGGCTCTTTAAGGAGGAAAATAAATTCTTACTCTCCACTTCTAAATTACTTTTGGTTTCACCATGCTTTAAGTATAAAATCAAAATGCAGACAATGACCTAATTCAGAACTCCTAATCAGTCATCTGATCGCTCTAAGGGGCTTTTGACAGTTCAACTAAAATTTTGATAATAAACTGTGTTTGCACTCGAAAAAAGAAGGGCTTCTTCCACAAAGAACTTCATCTTTGTTTAACTGAATTAAAATTTTCAGCCAAGGTTTCACTCATATAACAAGAAGTGACTCCCTTTCTAGTTTCTTTGGTAAACCATTACTTCTTTAATTATTATCAACCTTGTTCCAGTGTGATAAATTGCTAATTACTTAATACCCTAATCAGTGCTCATTCTTTGCACAGATAAACTGTGACAGTGCCATTAATTTAAATAGTAATTTCACTTAATGGCCAGAACGGCGCACCAGATTTTTATGCAGCATTTTCTGAAGACTGCATCCATCACTGCAATATTCTGACATAAAGATGTCTGACGTGCACTAACTCACTTAGGGAGAGCAGATGTTGCAGAGCAGAGTTGGGTAGTAATTCCCATAGTGCATCACTTCAGCATGAATGAGCTGCAAATTCAGAGTGAGATAGTCTTCTGAAACTGTATTGCAATGACTTTTGACCCCTACCTAATTTATCACATGTAGCACTTGACTTTTGAACTTTGACATAGAGAATGCACAATTTTAAACATGCCCAAAGAAAAACAAAATAGGCCTTGCATTATTGATGGATAGATGTACTCTTCCAGAGGTTCTTCATTAAATTTGTACAAAGGTGGAGTGTCCCTTTGAACAACATGCAGATGTTAATAAAGTGGTACAATACACATTGAACTATTAGATATTTATTTTTCAGATCAAATAGAATATACTGTTATTCCTTGGATAGCTTCAACTGCACTAGATACAACTGAGATTATAATGGAGGAAAGAATATTTTACTCATAATATTAGAAATAATTCAAATATATTACTAATACTTAATGTCCACAGCTGAAAAGTAAAGGATTTATAAATACAATTGTTGGATGAATGTCTAAGTTGCTAAACATGCAAAGCTGGTGCTTTAAAAAAAAAGAAAACCATAAATTATGAATAATTATTTTGAGACCAAATATATATATACAGCAGTAAAAACAGCAGTAGAACTCTGCAATTGACCATGGGGCCATATTTTAAGCCACGGGACTATGCTTTAAATCTTGAAGAACAGCAAAAATCAAAAACAAACAAACAAACCACCCCTCCCTATAAAAAACAAACAAACAAACAAACAAACAAAAAACTCACAAAGATTTGTGATTCATCAGACTAGTATAAATATACAGAATTGGTTAAAAGAAAAGAAAAGAAATGCATACTTAACGATACCAGTAGATGTCTCTATGGCTACCAACACAAAACCAAGGAAGAAGAAGGGTCGAATAAAACTGTCCCCCTAAACCATTGTAACATACTTTATAGCAATTATGCATTACACTTTTCAAAAACTCATTATGTCACTTGAAAATCTTTGAGGAAACAATCTTTCAATACAACTCACAAGTCATGGATTCATGTGGCTACACTTTTTTCTTTTAAACAAAGTTCCCAAACTCTAATGTAATAAACAATGGTAGTCATTCATTCTACTTAAAGCAAAGAGTTCAGGATGGGATGGGGAAACCCTGTTCTACTCCAAAGTAATCCCAAACCAGAGTTTCATATCAAAGACTGCAAGGCAAAATTCTTAACAGAAATAAGGCAATATATTCCACAATGTACCATGATCAGTGTCTCATGGGTAACAGAAAATCCTGTTCTCTTTTAATGATTTCATTGTTGTTAAGTGCCATTGAGTTGGTTCTGAATCACAGCAACCCCATATAGGGTATTCAAGGAGTGGCTGGTGAATTTGAACTGCTGACATTGTGGTCCAGTGCTTTATTCTACACTTTGAATGGTGGTGGTAGTTATGTGCCGTGGATTCAGTTCTGACTCATAGTGACCCTGTACAGGGTTTCCAAGGCTGTAAATCTTTATGGGAGCAGAAAGCCTTATCGTTGTCCCGAGGAACAGCTGGTAGTTTCAAACTGCTGACCTTGTGGTTCGCAGCCCTATATGTAACCACTACGCTACCAGAGCTCCTTACACTTTGAATGGTAGAAAGGCTCTAATTTTCATCTTCTAATACCCAGGAATATAATCAAGTCTGCTCCAAGATTAATGACATAAATGATACAAACCATATAAACAAACATGAATGAAAAATGAGCAATAAAGGAGTTTAAAATATATTCAAAGAAA